TAAGTAAAAACATAGTTATGAATATATGGATACATATAAGAAAAATAAAAGAAACAATAGGACAGGGACGGTAGGCACATTGGTGCGCTTATGCACGCCCCCTACAGACCTCTTAGGAAAGGGGTGAGGTCAATCCCCTTCAAGGTGATCAAAACACAGTGAAACTAGGTATATTCTGCATTTTGGGGTCCCAGAAATGGTTTCTAGTAACCCAATTTGGCGAGACATTTTTGCATTGCAGAAAAAACTGACCAACCACCTGGTGTGCCTAGTTTCAGCTTTTGCAGAAAAATCTGTTACCAGCAAGGTAAACACAGACGCTACTGGAGCCGCATGGAATGCGCTTACACACCAGCTGCACTGTAACTTCCTGACTGCAGGATCCCTAAGGTCCTAGTGCATCAATTCATATGTAAATGGATATGCAGGTATCCATTTTTTAAAAAATAAATAAATAAATAGGCATTCCAAGGGACCTTGAGTTTATATATAAACGGATGTAGGGAGGTGTCTGCTATTGTTTCATTCAGCCAATGCTAAGTACACTTAAACTAGATACCAGATGCAGCAAGAATGGGGAAATTAAATACTGTATATTTCAGCATTCTTAAATGCAAAGGATTTAGACAGATCGGAAATGGCAACTTCACATTATTAAAAGGTAACCTCGGTAGATTTTTTTTTCCTTCCTCATTAAAAAAAAAATGTATATGCTACTATTCAAAATTGACATGTTTGCTTTTGAGAAAATAAGAAGTATGCAGGGGAGGACTGGCTCATTTTTTCCCCTCTCTCTTTTTCAAAGGTGCTTTCCTTTTCTGTTGGACTCCTTTCTTTGTGGTGCACATAACCAGAGCTCCCTGTAAGTCCTGTATCATGTCTGGCCAAGTAATCAGCATTGTCACATGGCTGGGTTATGTCAACAGTGCCCTCAACCCTATCATCTACACAATCTTCAACACTGAATTTAGGAATTACTTCCGCAAAGTTTTGCACATCTTCTGCTAACTCCGCTGGATTCTTTGTCTAGAACTGAACCCAGAAGAAAGGAGAGTATATTGCACAGGGCAAAGAGCCAGACCAATTATTGTCTTTGCATAGTTTAATAAAACTTTATTTCTTATTACATAGTTGTGTGCTTCATTTTTTTTCACTCGATAACAATACTGCTCTCTGGACAGCAGTCCCTTCATATTTGGTGAGAATGCAAAAATGGCCTGAAGGCAATGCATTGTTTGTGAGACTTCATGATAATCTTCTAAGTTGACTGAGAAAAATACTCCATTTGGGGTTTGCCATCTGTCCTCCATGCAAGCAGAGCATTCAGAAAAGCATTTGTGATGGTTGCCCCACAATAATGACAGCATTTTTCCCCAAAGAAATGTGGATGTATTTTATGAGTGATGCTGTAAGAATTTATACATGTTTTGATGGCTCTGATAGAGTCTAGGGATTCCCCCCCCCCACTTGTAAAAATAATTAACCATCAGAAGATGATGTATGTATGATGAATGATGAATCTTTTGCAAAGGACGTGACAGGTTAGAAAGTGAGAAAACAGAGATAGCGCCAGGAAAACAACCATGCTTGTCAGAGCTATTAACAGTTTGTGCATTTTGCTAGCTCAGAGAGTGCTGGCCAGTGTCAAAGACATGAATTAGATGTTTAATCAATTTGATCAAGCTCTATGTGCCATGGGATCAGAAAACTATTATTATGATGAGGATAATTTAGTCTGACTACAGCATGGCAAATATATATATCTATGTTTGCTCATCCTCTAGTCCTGAGCATACACAAGAATTAATACCATAGTCATATTGTATTGATTTGGGAGAGGAATTCAATTGCCCCCCTTTGAAAATTCCCCAGAAAAAAGTTATGATAATACTTAAAAATTGAATGTCTTGATACACCAAATTATTGGCTCATTGGACAGATATTTGCTATTCTACTGAGGGCACCTCTCTTCAGGAAAGTTTTTAAAAATCCTTTGGATTTTTCTTTGTATGCTCAGACTCCCACAGAACAAGTTTTAACTTTATGAAAATTCTGAAAACACAACATATTTAGGCAATTGTACATATTTTAATAAGAAATCCCTCTTATGAAAATTTAATCTAAATATCTACATATAAAAAAAGTATCTGGGAATTAAGGACAACCCCCCCCCCCCAAAGAATAAAGGCAACAGTCCCACACAAAACATCAAATTAATATACCTAAAGTAATTAATGTGGTGCCTATTTGAGTAGGATCTTAGGTTTGAGAAGATATGCAGGGTACCTTTCATACAGGAATGATTTGAGAGAGAGCAGATTGGTCTCCTGCTTAGATGTTAATAGTATTCCTTTCTGTTTCTCTTCATTTTGAAAGCAATAGAACATGAACCTCTTACGAGAGGTTGACCGGACTGCAGTTTAGCCAAACATCTCCATTGTTCAATATAGCTAGCAAATCAAAGCATCAGGAAGTAGCTGAACTCACCTTGGTGGCCCTGCAGTTAAATACTAAAGAAATGGAAGAAGCTACAGTGTGTAAGAGATCTTATAACTATGTTTAAGGAAAGAAAATAAAATACAAATTAAGGTCTCTTATCTTCCCAACATGGGATGACTATACCAGATACTTCTGGGGACCTATTGGGATGTCAACATATGGGGTTGGTCTCCCTCTAGTCCAGGGGTCTTCAAACTCAACAACTTTAAGACTTGTGGACTTCAACTCCCAGAATTCCTCCTCTAGTCATGTGAGCTCAGGAATTCTGCGGGTCTTAAACTTGCCAAGTTTGAAGACCCTTGCTCTAGTCAGATAGGGATCGGATGAGCAGTATGATGGGGTGCAGTTCTGCTGCTGTACCTACAGTGGCTTTTTTGGTGCTCTTGATTAATGAGGGCAAACAAATATAAAGTCCTTCCTTCAAATGCCATTCACCTTCCCTTTACAATGTCTTACCAAATGCAGATTTAGGAACAACTGAAAATATACACATGATCAATTTATAAACACATTTCGGTGACTGGTCAGGAACATCTCCCACAAAACAGAAGCAATGTCTCTATAAAGTTTTTTCTTCTTCTTCTTGGCTTAAAACCTTTTAAAATATCTGTTGTGATTTTAACACTCAAAAAGTGCTATTTTCAAACTTAGTCTTCTTGCTAGGATGCAAGATTCTCTCTTCTCAAGTGAGATGCTGAGGAAATACACAGTTGCACCTTTGCTTTTATTTTTGGCAGTACAAACAGCAAGCTGTAAATGTGGTGCAAATGTTTAATTATTTGATCACTGGGTTCCAGAAAGATGGCCGAGATATTTTTTTCAACTATATACTCAGAAGTATGAAAATCAAAAAACAGCCATACTGTTCTTCCAACAACAGAAAAGGACCTATTTCCCCTTTGACTCACAAATAAATCCTAGAGAATTGATGGACTCCCTGGAACAAGACTTGAGACAAGGTGAAAAGAAAAAAGAAAAGATCTGTATGATGTTGGATGGAAATTACTGTTTTGATTCCATCAATTTACCATATCTGATGTTTTAAATTGCTTAAGCATCATCAAGTTAATGTCAGCTCTTAACAATCACATAGACTGACTTTCTCCAGGACGATTATTCCCAACCTGGCTATTCAGATCTGCCAATTGTGCCTCATCACCATTGTAATCAAATACATTCATTTTACTGGTCATCCTCATCTTCTTTTTCTTTCCACCTATCCCAACAGTAAGGACTTTTCAAGAGAGCTGGTTCTTCCCATGTTTCACATATGATAATTTGAGCCTGATCATATGTGCCTTGAGTGAGAACTCTGGATTAATTTGTTCTATGATCCATTTATTCTTGCATATCCAGTTTTCAAGTCTTCTGCGTACAATACCACTGTTCAAAAGCTTCAATCCTTTTTCTATACTGCTTCTGATTTACAATATACCACAGGGCAATTTATCTATGTATTCTTGCAATCAGCTGTGATGTAATGACATCCTCACATCCTGTGACTGACAAATAAATACAATTGTTGCTTGTTCCAGTCCCCAATAGGACAAATTCTACCATTTCACTGGCATAGCAGGCAATTCAGTAATGCTATTTATGCTACTCTGTATCGTGGTAGATTGTTGAGAAAGTCTAGCAGAATAACAGGACTGTAGTTTGAAGTCTACAGGGTTCAGGAGCATGGACCATTAGTTTAATTATTTAATACAGAGTTCCCCAACCTTTTCGGATTGGGGACCGTTGGGCGGGGGGAGGGGATGGTTCTGCACGAGTGGCAGGCAAGGGCATGCATGCGTAGCTCCATTGGCTCAAGCAGAGGGCAAGTGTGCCAGCCATTGGTGCAAATGAAGCATGCGCATATGCGCTCGCCTCCTGGTCCACTTCTGCAGCATGGTTCCAAACAGCTCAAGACCCGGAGATAGGTCGTGGCCCAGGAGTTGGGGACCCCTAATTGGTCCAACAAGTAACAGCATCTACTTGATCTGGATTGATCTTGAAATCCAAAGCAGGGTCATGGTACTTCACTGGGGGACCACAACAAAATCTGAGGAGAGAAAGGGATCCAAAAAATACTGAAAGGAAAGGTCCAAACAGTTCTGTATGTTAACAAAGAAGACCATAAGAATCTGTCCACATAGTTTTCAAATGCTGAATTCAACAAGGGAGATTTTAGCTTTGAATTTTTCTGCAAGACCTTCGAATCTAACTATTGAATAATTATTCTCTATAGGTATTCAAATGTTCCACATTTATCAGTGTAATAACTACAAAATGATACTTCATGATACTTCCAGTAAAGAAGAATTTTTATATTCTTTTATAAAGAATTTTTACCGTATTGGAGAACTTTTACAGAGAACTCCTAAATAACACACACACAAAAATAATTAATAGAATCAAGATTCCATATGTATTTTAATTAAGATTTAATAGACATCAGGAAACTAAATTTACTGAAAAGTAAAACTGTTTCATATTTAAACAAGAATGACAGACCTTTTCCTGTTATCATTATTGAAACCTCATCAGAGGAATCTTAAAAGAATGCAGACCCAGAAGCTGCTTTAAATAACATTTTCAAAATACTTCAAAGAATACCCATAATCCATCAGAGCAATTGAATATACCCATTTGTTTTACAGCAGCTTTGTAGAAATGCTTGAAAAGATCCATCAACTTCTGAAGTTCCCTTAAAACAGTGGAGTTCCTTGATGCTCTTGTTCCCTTAAGGTTTAATTTTCTGCTTGGTTAGAGAAAATTCATATGTTGGCCCGCAACATGCAAGTAATACTATGCCTTCACCCTCTCTGTGAAGGGTTTTATTTATGTCTTCTTTTGTTTTGTTTTATTTATCACAGAAGAATTGCTGGTCCAGCCAGTTTGCTGCACCACACAATCCATGAAATTGGAAGAAAGAAGGTTTTAGACAATAACTTTTTCAATCACATTATCTGTATCATGATCTTCTTCTGTCTGAACAGTTACTGCGGGTGACTGCCCACACATATGCTGATGGTCTTTCCAATCCTGAAAATGAGCACAAAAAACAGACTGTGAATTGGAAGCAATTATTGAGTGAAGTAAAAGTACAGCAACATACAGCAGGGGAAGGGAATGCTACCGTTACATAATGGTATGTGGGGATGACCTTGGGAGACAGGGCAATATTATGCCACCAAGGGAACAGTCAAATAAAAGGCATCTTAGCCAGTAGCAGTAAAGTGGGTGGGGCAAGAGATGCAGAAGAGACCCTCCCTAGTTTTGGGGAAGCTGGTGGGGTTGGGGAGAGAGAAGTACTTTCAGTCTTGCAATATTCTATTAAGGTAACCTTTTAATAAGGTAGAATTAGCTGATCTAGTCATATTTCCTGTTTGTAAGGCTGATATCAGTTTGCAAAACTGAAAATACTTCTCTTCCCACCCTTCCTCTTTGCAGCTTCCCAAACTAGGAAGTCTCTCTTTGAACCTCTTACCCAGTCCACATTCTTCCTGTGAACCAAACTGCCTTTTATCTGATCATTCCCTTGGCTGAATCTTGTTGCCCTGTCTCCCAAGGATATTCTCACCTAGCATTACACACTTGATTTATTAATAAAGCATTACACACGATGACTCTCACATACTTGCATTCCCAAGTAATTCCTAAGCTCGCTTAGCAATTGGGTGCTAAAATCTTTGGTATGTTCCATCTTTCTTAAATACATATCCTAGACAAGTTGAAAAAAAGGAGAAAGCATGAACACCCAATGAAATTATCAGACTAAAAGAGAAATTTATTAAAATCCAAAATTAAATTGCACTAAATTGTAAATGGCAGCAAAGCACCATATTTCTGAGTTAAACTACCCAATTAAAAAGACCCTGTAGTGGTAATGTAGAAAATCATTGTTATTCTAAGGAAGACATATTTTGATTTTTTTCCCCCCCATATCAACAAAGGTCTAGAAGTTTAGAGCTTATTCTGAGCTAACCTGCTTTTGTTTTTTTTGCTCTTGTTTGATGAATAAAGGAGAAAGGAGAGGGAATCTTCACTGCAAATCTGTGAAACTCTCATACTTTTAGTTATCACTCAGAGTCAGATGCCACTCAGTCAATGTCAGGTCTTGCAATCTCATGACCATAGAAGCAGGACCATGAAGTCATGGTTCCAGGTTTTGATAGAAATCTTGGGGTGGTTGTGGTTTATGGGGAGTTTCTGCACAGAACTTAGCATTGGTTAATACTGCAATGTAAGCTGCTCAGAGATGCCTCGTGGTGAGATGGGTGGCCAATAAATTTAATAAATAAATTAAATTGGGTACTATGGCTGCCCTTAGAGTATCTCTGCTGTTCCTATTATGGACCTCCTGACAGCTTGTAAGAGTTGGGGATCATTTTACTTGGTACGCATGCTTTATATGTTACCCTTTTAAGTTTGTTTCCTTGAATTAATAATACAACTTAAAATTGCTCATTGTCTCTGGATCCAAAAGAACCAATTGCTTGGGCATCTAATCATTGCTGAGAGACCCGCATTTCTAAAAGTGTTTTGCTTTTATAACAAAAGGTGAAAACCAAAAGGAATAAAAACAAGAGAAACTTCATCCTTCATAATTTTTAGAAGGGAAAATCGCCCTTCTTTCTTGATTTAGTCTACGGCAGGGGTGTCAAACTCGATTTCATTGAGGGTCGTATCAGGGTTGTGTTTGACCCTGGGAGGGGCTGGGATGGGTGTGGCCAGCTCAACGTCACTCGTGTCAGGGGGCACCTGTGGTGGCCCGAGCACTCTGCCAGCGGAAACAGGTTCCTGAACTCCATTTTCAGCTGCAATGGCCTCCTGCAACCCTCTGCCTCCATTTTTACTGGCAGAGGCACCATGGGCCAGTCCTTTGCTGTTTCCAGAGTGACCCCGTGGGGCCTGCAGGCCTTGAGTTTGACCCGCCTGGTCTAGGGATACAAAGTCTGGTCTACAAACCCAAGCAACCACTACATGGGATCAAAAATTGGGGTTTTCTTTAACTCTTTGCTAAAGAGCTGCATTTTTCCAGCTCTAACCTAGTACTCCTAGTATAATCATTGTTGGTTGCTCAAAAGTACTAGATCATACATGGGCACTTGCTTCTTCAGCTCTGCAGGACAACTGTATTCATAAGGGGTGTGATACCTTCCGTTGACAGAACGTTGAGCAGTAATTGACTTTATGGCAACCGGTGCATTCATTCATTGCCTCCCGGCCACAGTTTACACAGGATTGCTGTGAGATTGCAGGCAAAGAATACATGTTAAATGGAAGTAAAAGGAGGTTGCACATGATGTATAAAAAAAGAAGTCATATATAATTTCTACTGCCCATGTACTGGTACAATTCTCTTAATACAGAAACTGGGCACTCTTCACAATGAACACAACTTCTCTAACTTTTTTCAAGAATCAAAGACAGCCCAAATTTATACTGATAATATGAAGTAGAAAATTTCATGTCTTTATCAGACTCTGGAAAGTATCTATTTGTCTCTGACTATAATGGCTGCAGCAAACTGAGAAAATAGGACAACTTATAGTGGATAAAAAAGCTCTGAAAAGCAAAAATACTATGTTACCAGCCATTCATGCATATATGATCCCATACACACATGCATTTGTAATTACTAGGAACTTTTGAGTGCCACTAATCTATGTTGTAAAAAGATTTTTTTAAATTGTAATTTTATTAAAAATTGCAATTACAATGATATATACAAAACTAAAAAATGAAAGAAAAAGAAACATTGAAAGTACAGAACAGAAAAATAGAAAAAAATAAGTATATACTAAGAGAAAAAGAAAAGAAATATATAATGAAATTACTTCCCCCTTCCTCACAACAAGTATAAACAATTTTACTAACATCATCTTTGCTTAAAATACAACAAATAACCTCTTCTTCCCATATCCCTTCTCTATAAATAAATCCTTAAAATACCATCTACTTTTTAACAAAAACATCTTCAATTTGCCTTTTCTTCCCTGGAAATCCCAAGAATTGAGATTGCACAATGCAAAGTTCTTACCACTAGACCATAAAAAGGCCATCCTTCTCCAAATGGACAGGAGAAAATGTAAAAAGGTCATATTTTTTTAACAATAAGCATGCAAGCAGGGAAAAAAATATGAGGGTGCAACTGAATATGAGTACCGTATTTACTTTTTGCCTCTCGCTGGGGCAGGAACAAAAGCCTTCAAAAGTGTATGCAATTTGGCATTTCTCAGTAGCTGTATGATTAAAACATTCTAACAGGAAAGATGTATCAAAGTCTAATGATTCTGAATTGTTAATAACAGAATGCGGAATGATGGATAGAGAATGAAATATAGAACAGCACGAGATTAAGGAACTGGCCTCAAGATAAGCCAGACCTTGTTTTTAAGTTTACATGATTAATACCATCAATCTCTTATATTTCGGGTTTTATCATGGTAGGAAACCTCGGGAATTTGGAAAAATATCATTTTGTTTTGTATTTCTAACCTGTCTGTTCAAACAGCTCATTCAAAACAAGAGGAGGAAGATGGATTTACAGCTCAATTAGCTTGCAACTCGTATCATTGCTTAGGCATGATCGGTGTCTCTGTACAAGGTGAGTACAAGAAGGAATTGTGAATAAATTGCCCTGCTGCAAAGCATTAGCGAAATATGCAGTGCAGAGAGATATATACTTGGTTTCAGACTCAACTGATTCACAATGATCAACACTAATTTGTTTGCACCTTCTGCCAATAAATTCTCTGCAAACTGAAGGACGGTGTCAGAGATTTCCCTCATTTCAGTGGCTGTATGCAAAGCCAAGCCTCAGGGATGCAATCCAATGAAAACCTGTCATGGCATTCATAAAGAGCTCGGTAAATAGAGAAAGAAAAAAGGACTAGTAGAAAGGGAATAGCTGTGAAGCGGGAGACCTGAGATCAGATTAACTCTTCCTCAGAGGAATTTAGACTGACTCTTTGAAAAAAAAAATGTTCTGGGTTTTTTTTCCCTCCAAGTGGCTACTGCCAAAAAATAAAAATAAAAGCACTTAGGGGAGCATGGTAGCCAAATTTCAAGGAAGATTATTTAAACATGGTTGCTCATCCATTTGGATAGGCAAACATAACCGGGCGGAGGTAGTCCAGCAAATAAGCCTGGCCCCATGCTGTGGAGAGCTTTATAGGTAACCACCAGCACAATATAGTAAAGTCAAAAGCACACTGGCAACCAATGCAGTTCATGGAGCAAAGAAGTAAAATGTGTGGGCTGAAAGGCACTCATAATAGTCTGTACTGCTCCATTTTGTACCAACTGCGGTCCGCTCCCACCAAAGTGTTGGGGTATCACCTTCCGCTATTCATAAAGGCAATTCAGGGCACAGGCCACCCCCAGGTTATCCCCCAGGGAAAGGCCCCAAAGCACCAGTTGGTAAAAGATCACCTTCTACCAGTTCAAAATACACTGTAAAAAAACCACCAATCCATAGATTCCCATCTACCAGCTATCAGAACACCACAATAATGGATGGTACACTGGCTTCTTCAAGACTTGGGAGCTAAAGGAAAGTGACAAGATGGATGCCAACCCTTTATGGGAGATAAGGTGCTGTCTCAGGAACCAGGCCAGCTTAGCCACATCAGCATTAACATGTTCAATCTCACACCATTAGTCTGCTACCACTGAGAAGCCACCATTCAGTGTCAAAAAAAAAAAAAAAGAACATGGAAATAGCTTGATAGTCCTTAGATACCATTCAGATTTAATCTTTGGGCTTACCTTAATAATAATTTCGGTTTTTCCATCAACATCTTCTGTATGCTGAAATAACTGACTCTGATACTGCAAAAATTGAAAAACAACATAAATTTCTTTTTACAAGTGCCTCATGCTGCTCTTGGGAGGTATAGTTACAAAAAAGAGTTTTCTATTGGAAAGATGGCTGTGTGGAGTGCTTGTATCATAAATATGAGTGAGGACTTATTTTATTTAAGTAATATTAAGGACTAAAGATACATCAAACTATATATTCTGTGTACTAAATTATACACTATCATTTATCTTTTACATAGGAAAGAAATGTTTGAGATAAAACAAAGAGCTACATATATTTCAATTACTTCACAAATGTCTTTTGATATCGTGATTAGAAACAAAAACCCACAGCTGGAAACTGCACATCTGTAGCTTTGCTAGTCCAGAAGAAGAAGGCTTTGCCCAGAGAAGATAAAGTTTGTAGATGGTTAGTAACCTCCTTCCTTGCCCAACACTTCATGTCTGCTGCCATTTAGGTCCCCACATCTCTATACTGACAAGAAATTCTGTTGTTTCTTTTGGTTTGTTATATGCAAGCTAGCTCAACTATTTTGGGGGACTATTTGGAGACTGTCATTATATTGAACGGATTTGCATTCTAATAGCAAAAAATTCTTTAAAAATTTCCATGTGATCATTTTTTCTGCGCTCAAACCGTTCCCTCTCACATTTTCATAGAAATAGAGAACAGCTGGAAGAGGCCACAAGGATCATTTAGTCCAACTTTCAGCATCTGTGAAAGATAGCTGTCTAATCTCTACTTAAATGCCTCAGGGAGGGGGAGACCCACAACGTCCACATGTACACTGTTCTGTTGTATGGATTTAAACACTGTACAATTTCCCCCAATATTTAACAAATCTAAGCAGCTGCAATGCTTACACATTAACCAATTTAACCAATTCAACATTCATTGAAATCACTACATACTCTCTTTAACAATAGGTGGTGATATATTTTTTTAAAATAAGTAATAGGCACAAATCCAAGAATGCAGACCTAAAATGGCAGGTATAATTAGCAATAAAGGCCAACTGACATGTCCCAGCAAAGGATACTTGAAGCTATTGGTACCTTCTTACAAAGCTCTCTGCACTAAAAGCAAATTGATATTATAGAAAATAAGAAATGTTCAGCACCCACATTTAGTTCTGACCATAGCATATCTAACATTCAATGTTTCTTTCTTTCTGGGGAATAGTTCTTAGCTTTTATTAAATGGCTAGAAACCAATGTAAAGATATTCCCAGCTGCCTCCAATCTCAAACACTATGAAAGAAAGTCCTTAGATTTTACATGCTTGAGTAAGAATTAAATCTTACTCAAACATCTAAATAAAAGAGCAACCTATTGAACCAATTTACAGCTGAAAAGCAGTGAGCTTAAGCCAACATACTTGGTGATCAAGTGACAAATATGTTCTTAAAGACTGCCTTGGAAGAGGAAATAATGTCTAGCCAAGGGAGGACACAGAATCATCTGGCCTCAGTCAGAAAGGAAGTAAAGTGAGCATCTTTCCTAGGCAGCAGGTGAAGAACAGTTGTTGAAATCCATGCCTCCTCCCTCCTGGGTCCTAGAAAGCCCAAACAAAGAAGGCTCCAGGAATTAATGCAGAGAAAGCACTTGAGGACAAGAGTGGGTGGACACAGGGCTCCTCGGGTGATTCATCTAAAAGCACTGGGGGGGGGGGGAGAGAGAGATGCCCGGCTTGGTGGCTACATAAGCAGGCTCACTTTCATTCCCAGCACTGCTTGTAACTGAACTTGTGCCTTGCCTCACCACACTGTGAATTCTTAACTGAGCAACTGAATTCTGGATGGTCCTCGACTTTGCCACTTTATTGCTCCTTGAACTCATCATTTGGAGAATCTAGTTTTGACCCAAGTACAGATATAATCCGTGTTTGTAGCAAAGGCCTTTCCTTCTCCACTTCCCTCCTATCTCAAGTCTAGATCCGACACTGCCCAGCCTATAGAATTCATAACTTGCTACTATAAATAAAATAGACATGATTTAATACTTTCAATAGAAAACTACAGACAATTTCTAATTTGTAATTTGGTTGCAATCCTAATACTATGGGGAGAGCCCTGGTGGTGCAATTATTAGAATGTAGCATTGCAAGCTGACTCTGTCCACAACCAGGAGTTCAATCCTGATGGGGCTCAAGGTTGCCTCAACCTTCCATCTTTCCAAGGTCGGGAAAATGAGGATCCAGATGGTTGGGTGTCACATGCTGACATTGAAAACTACTCAGAGAGTGCTGTATAGCACTATGGAGCAGTAAACAAGTCTAAGTGCTATTGGGTATTAATGTCTAAAGTCTTCCAGTATTTAGGATCATGGCATATAGAGATTCTCCTCCTGTAAATTCCTCTCAGTACCCTAAAATAATCTTTGGAAGGATTACCCTGGATATTCTCCAATGGTGTAAATAGACCCTCAATAGTGTAGTAGGCCTGAAAGATTTTCCACTGTCTTCTGAATGACAGAGAAACATTTTTATTCTTGCAGAATGTTTAGCAATACACTACTTGTGACATTTATACACTACTGTGACATTTCAACTTCCTTACTACTGCTTGGATTGCTTATTTTATTATCTACCTTATTAATTTTATTTGACTCTTTTATGTAAAAGCTTATTTACAGTATATGTTACTATAAACTATTTTGGTGATGTTTAATTGGCAAATGGTATATAAATTGCACAATGGAGGCGCAGTGGTTAGAGTGCAGTACTGCAGGCTACTTCTGCTGACTACCAGCTGCCTTATATTTGGCAGTTCAAATCTCACCAGGCTCAAGGTTGACTCAGCCTTCCATCGTTCCGAGGTGGGTAAAATGAGGACCCAAATTGTTGAGGGCAATATGCTGACTCTGTAAATGGCTTAGAGACGGCTACAAAGCACTGTGAAGCAGTATATAAGTCTAAGTGCTATTGCTATAAATACTTTAAATAATTAAGTAAATAGTACTTTATATGTATCTATTATGCATTTTAGAAGAGTTTCCTTTAAGCTGTCTCAGATCTGAAAATATTTCTGTTTGAACATAGATCCTAGGAGTTCTAATTATTTGGGTTATGTTGCTCTGAATGCAATAGAAGAAATCCAACATATTGTTTTAGAATGTATACTGCAGATCAGAAATGATGCTACCAAAAGCCAAAATCACTACATGGTTGCACTCTGAAATTCACCAAGAGAGACTATAGTAATGACTACATCCATATTGTCACTGTGCCATGCACCGGGGTGGGAGTTTTTCTCTTTCAACAGTGTCAAAAGCAGCGTAGGTAGTTTTAAAAGATGGCTATAAGATATTTGGGGCTAAGATTTTTCTTGAAACCCTATTTATTACCTCTTTCCTTTCTGCATCAGCTTGAAGTTTTGCTTGGGAAACAGCAGCTTCTCTGTAGGAAGAGCTGGCCTGCTTAGCTTGTTCGATCAGCGTCTTCAGCTGCCGAGCTGTGTTAAGCAGAGAATTGACAGTCTCCTCTAGGTAAAGCCAGTTCCGTTGTTCTGTCATTTCAAGTCCATTCATCACAGAAGAGGACATTGTCTTAGTGGGGGTAGCAGGTGGCACCGCCAGGGCAGGGAGTGAGGTCAACACTAAAAAAACCAAAAACCCACAGAATGAGGTTGATCCACTAGTAACTCTGCTTCAAAATTATCCAGATCCATCCTCTTTTGCCTTTGCCTAGTTGTCATCCACAGCCATGCAATTTGGTTGTGGTAGAGAGCCTGGCAGCAGATTAAGACTCTTAGTTCCATTCTGTTCAGAAATCAATAATTTAAGATGCTGCCACTGAGTGTTTCATCATAGTAAAGTACTGGTAATTTCTGGTTGCATTACAAATAGCCATTACAAGAACATTTGAATATTTGAGATTTTGAACTGTTTCTCTTTTATGCAGTAGCTTTTGTTTTTACTAGCCCAGAGATCTGGAAGCAGGATGCATATGCTTTTAATACATCTTAGAACTGAAGCAATCCATAGTGCAAGCAGACTGTAACAACTGCAGTGGACCCTATCAACAGTTTAACACGGAAGTCTCCAAACTTGAGTTGAAGTCCTCAAGTCTTAGAGTTGACAAGTTTGGGGACCCCTGGTTTAAAATAACCAACCAGCTTTATGGTTGCCACAGATTCTTTTAGCTATATCCAAAGTCAATAGGCTCCCAAAACTCCAGAGGACCAGCACAAGTAGCTTTAGACTTTAGGCATCCCGCGCACAAGCACACAATGGGTAGCATTCAACAGTTGTTTTTCACACACTTCCCCAGGTCTTCTCCTAGTCCTATTCATTCTAGATCACGATACTTTCTGAGCCCTAGTGCTAAAGTTTTAGTGTCTCTTGGCACTTGGCTGCTTCCAGTAGTTCTATTTCCACCAACAGCAAAAAAAAAGAACACCTCCCTCTCACTCCCAGAACAACTTCAACACACCAACAACTCTGCCACAACAACATACACACAGCTGCTCTTCTCTCAGCTTTTCTACCTGCTGGTTGCTGAGGAGCTGGGTTGGCTGGGGAGAGGTCTTAAAGAGGCAGGGCACCATTAGCCTAGATGCTAGCCAACTTTCGGGAAGTCTGGCCTCTCACAATGTACTAATGAAATCCACCTCCTTAAGGGAGGCCAGCAATACACACATCCCACGTGTTCAGTTTTGTTTTGTTTTTTCAATCTTTGCAAATCCAGTTCTTCTAGTTTTCCACCAAGTCAAAATTTGTGGGAGCTACTAAATCTATGTAGAATGTTTCTTTCTTTCGCTACTTCTCATAAGTGGTGGTGGTAGTGGGATCCAGGACTGAGGTGGAATCCAAGATTGCAGAGGGATCCACAATACCTGGCACCTGAAAGGCAAGATGGGACAGGCTGAGAGGCAGATGGGACAGACTGAGAGGCAGTCACTGCTCTGCAGAACACTGGAGAGAAACCCTCATGCAGGGTCAGGCTGGGTTAGAATCAAGAGCAAAAAGATGGTGAATGTCAGTTAGGGCAGCAGAGGCCGTGGGAGGTGGGGGGCCAAAGGGACATAGATGTGGGGGTGAAGTAGCCCTCAAATTATTCCATCACTCTTGCACCCTCATCTTGTCAAAATCTTTTTAAAATCTCATTGTATTCATGTAGGAACTATTCGTTATATTCGTATAACTAACAGGTTCATGGCATCTCTGTGTGAAGTTTTCCACCTCCTCCTAAGCCAGCAATTCATCTCTAAACCAAGGAATCAGATTGGGGGGGAAGGGCTGGGAGGGTATGGAGCTATGACCTAGATATTCCCAGAGAATCAGTGTTCTTGGTCAGTCAAGAGAGCTCCATTAACTTTTCAGAACAGGTCAAATCAATAGTCCCCATCCTGAGGAAACTGAAAGCTATGAAAACTGTACCTGAGCGGGCAGCGGCTTTAACACAACCACTATCAGGTTATAATGGTTCCCATCTCCAAATCCGCAACCATCTGGCCTGTGTAGAACAACAGCTCTAGCATCACATAGTCCTTGGATTGGATCCTTGACAGTGCTGCATTCACAACCAAGGTTATTTTCATCCCTCCATCTATAATTCCCACTCTTTTCCTCCTACGTGAGGACATCAGCAGAGGACCTCAGTAGCACCCTAGCACACCTACACCACCCAGGTAATTTACTATTTTCCTGAAATATGCATGTATTTACTCCCATGCAGAAAAGTACTGGAGTTATATAACTTAACAATGTGGGGATTATTTTAGAGACAAAAGAAGTCTTACCAATTTTGGGATGAGAAGTTGGCAAAGCTGCTTCGGGGAATGAGGAGATCTGACAACTGTCTTGATAACTTGGATAGTGAGGCTCTGGATGATTGACCTGACAAGGTTGCTGCTGAAGGCTTGTATCTTGCACTGTTGAGAAAAGTCAGAGTCTAAGGGAACTGGCTCGGATGTTGCATCTTGGAAGTTCACAAAAGGTAAGAAGACATTAAGGAAAATAGGACACTTCTGGAAAAGGAGTTTAGCAAGAAATATTGTTTCTTACAAGATCAAAATGTGCTCAAGTTCCTGCATTTACCGTTTAATTGAAATAGATTTCAGCTTCAATATTAATGATTAAAACCAGAATCAAGGGAACTGGTAATCTCAAAATGAGAATACCAACGAGATGGTCAGAAATAAAATGATTTTGTGATACATAAATCCATCCCACCACTGGGTAATTTAAAAAGAAGCACGCAGTACTTATCCTTAGGCAAGACAATGTGCCAAGGATTGCAGACTTTTATGTATTCGTGAGAGGTTTCTCCCTCATTCTTTGTTATAATTTTAAAAATGCCTCACATAAAAGATTCCTAATAATATTTAAATCTATATTTTACCCATAAAGGAGAATATTGTTCCTCAGGGTTGAAATGAGGGGTCCTTGGTGCTCTCTGAGCTTGATTGTTTTCGGCAGACATTTCCTGCACCAATGATGTTACCTAGTTTGGGTAATGAAACATCTGCAAGAAAACAATCCAGCTCAGAGAGGGCCCCTTTTCCAGCTGTTTAAAACATGCCTATATTTTGAATGTAATGCAATTTATTAAGTATATCCACTTGGGTGGCTTTTTTGCAAACAACCTTTTTGGATGGTGTTAAGCCATTCTTAATAATCTAGAAAAACGAACACTTCCTAAAACAGACAGAGAAACGGCCCATTAATACAATTCTGTCTTGTGAGGATTTATCTTTATTTATTTCCCTCCTTTATTATTTTTATCAATATTTCAAGTTGGGAAATAAAGCCAATGTTCTTCTTCCTCCTATTTTCTCCACAAAAACAATCCTGTGAGGTTGGGCTGAGAGAGAATGACTGGTCCACAGTTATCCAGCCAGCTTTCATGCCTAATGAGGGAGGGACTAGAATACAATCTCGTTTCTAACCTTAAACGCTACACCATTCTGTTTGGTTTATTTGTTTTCTTCTAGCCTGTAACAACAGCAACAACAACAATAAAGAAACCTAGATGAAAATATGAAGAAAAATAAAAAAGCTAGCTAGGCCAATGAGCAATCATATTTAATTTGATATGAGAGGATGAAGATTTATTTGATCATCCTAACGCATGGGAGTATTACAACAGCAGCGTTAGACCAAATAACTCCACCCAAGGGAGAGAATTAAAGGAAACAAGCCCAGTGGACAAGAGTGGCAACCAGAAGCAAGAGATGTCAACTTTAGGCTATCTGCAGAGGCAGCATTCTCTGAGCTCTCAGGACAAGGAAATTGCAGAACAAAAACAAAAGGGGAGGGGGGTAGTGGATTATTGTGCCCTGCAATAAAACAAAAAGAATCTCGGGAGTTAGCAAAACAGAAATAAATACACACTGACCAGACCAATTGGCATATGAAATAAACCGCCTTCCAAGAGCAAAATCAAACATGTGACAGAGCATCAGGGCATATTAAGTCCACTGTCCTACAATTTCACCTAGGGCTAAAGGTATTGCAAAGAACAGCTAGAGATATATTATCAGTGACACTGAAGATCTAGAAAAGAAGCTCAAGAACAGATGGTGGTTTCATCCATCTTTGCAGTCTAGGGAAGAGGGCTGAAAACTAAATACTGCAGATTACTGAAGAGCTATGCAAGCAACATCAAGAGAAAAGGTCCATTATTATCTGGGCGATAAACTGCTGACTTGAAATGGATTGCAGCTCATAAAGATTTGTAAATAAGTCTTTAGCCAAAGCTGAGTAAACTTGATTGGAAGAACTTTAAATTGAGGGCAGATTAAACCCTGAAGTAAGATGTAGGATTAATTCTTGTGTGATCTAGAAGGAAGTGCCTATTAAACTACTCAATGGTGCCTATTAAACTACTCAATAGTAAAATCAGGAAGAACATTGGCCCATAAAGTTCACAGGCTTTGTTGTCTATGTCCTAATGCCAACAGCATAGGAAATAAATAAAATGAACTTAAATGTTTAATACAGGAATGCAACTGAAGTTTAATAGGTATAATAGAAGCAAATGATTTCCAGTATAGAAGTAAAACCACTGAAGAATACCATCTATTCAAAAGGAACAGAAACAACGAAAAGGGCGAAAGAATAGTACTTTATGTAGCGAGTATTCACATCTGTTCAGAAATCCAGGTAAACAAACTTTGTGGCATCATAGTCAGCTCTTGGGTTAAAATAATGGAAGAAGCAAATAAAAGCAATATTGTTATAATGTCTATTATTCTTGCCCAATGAAGGAAAAAAAATATGGATGCTGTTTTAGAAAAGCAAATTGCAGATCTTTCAAAGCAAATTGCAGATCTTCACCCTGGCAGCCCAAAGTTGTTGGAGCGTAAGAAAGTTATTGGAGAGCATGATGGATGACTCTTGGAGATGGATGTGTCCCATTGGAGAAGTCACATCCACGGGGTGGGGGGAAGACCAGGTTCAAGGGGGAAATGTATGATGTGATTTAGTACCAGCTGCATCCAACATGGCCACTTCTAATAAATCAATTTTCTTTTTTCTAAGATGCGGCTAGAGACTTTTGATTTGAATGGGGGTGGATTTGCTGGAGCTTTGACAGCCATCTTGTTTTGGCAATGAGTCAATCAGATCATAGTAGGATTCATTTATTGATGTCATGTATTGAAGCTGAGAGGACATTTGTCAATATGTTACATGATCAAGTTGATTGGGGTTTTTTTGTGTTCTTTCATTTAGTGAGCTTGTAATAAAATTAAAGTAATGGTGCAAAGAGTTGTCTGGTCTCCCAGAAAGCGATGTAAAATAGTATTATTAAGTGAACAAGGCTACAGTTATAAAGAAATTAGAAGAAAAATTGGTGGAAACTTAACCAAAGGTGGCATTTCTACATTTTTGAAGAGGTATAAGGAGACTCAGTCATTACAAAACCACACTGGTAAAGGCAGGAAAAGGTGTACAACAGCAAGTGATGATAGAAAAATTAAGACTGCCTACGTGACAGAAGAAAATCATTTGGGTGTATACAAGATGAAATGGTGCAGTGCAAAGTGAAGTTGAGTGCAAGGACGGTTCAGCCCAGACTGCAGAAATTTGGCCTAAAATCTAGAATTCCACAAAAAAAGCCACTTTTATCTCTCAAACAAAGGTTGAAAAGACTAAACTGGGCTAAAACCCATGTTATCTGGACAGAGGAACAATGGGACTGTTATTTGGAGTGATGAGACCAAGATCTTCTGTTTGGTAGTGATGGCATAAAATACGTAAGGAGACACGTTTCCCAAAAGGTTTCCACAATTTTGGCCACTACTGTAGATGAGTCCAAGCAGAACTGCAGAGCCATCTCTCTGGATAGTTTTGATTTAAAGCCCTGCCTTGGAGAGTTTGGGGTCAATAGCTTAATGGCCCTTTCCAACAATATAATCTGTGGTTCATTCCTGAGGCTGGGCAATTGATTGAAGCAACTGCTTTGCACTGCAATCTCATACACCTGTATCCGAAAATAAATCCCACTGCACTAATCAATAGAATTTTCTATTTTTGTGCTATTAATCACATTTTTTTTATCTTCTTTCGTCACTGCCTGATTCCTCCTTCTAAAATGTAGGTTTAAAGAAGTATCCCGATCATATATGGATATGGATTTGTCTTACTCACCAGTGGTACCAGTGAAAACATCACCTTGGGATGGACTTTCTGAGATAATAGCTGTGGCCTCCACAGCTGCTGTACGATCAAAGGTCAAAGTGCCCGAAGTTGTAATCTGTCCTGAAGGAGTCACGGTGACTAAAAAATGATGAAAATATTTTCAGAATTAAGTAGAATGCTAATACTTAGTGATCAAGGGATCTCCCCAGTTTTGTTTCTAACCATCAGAAACACCCCACTGAGCTTTTAGATATAACTGTCCAAGAACAATCATACTTTTTCTCTGACTGAAAGAAATGGAGCAAGCCAAATTAATAAGGCTAAAAGCTTCCCAGTTTAACACAATAAAGAGACAGCTCGGGGCAAAAAAGAACATACTTTATTAAGATGGAAAGCAAACATTAAAATTAAATACGGAGGATAAGACTTTAAGTAATATTTGCAATGTTGATGTTATTATTCAAATTATAACCATCAGCTAGTAAATAAAGATCAAACAAGGATTAAGGGCGCCAAAAGAGAAATTTAAGATGATTTGCAATTTATACTGAAGTGACAAAGATGAATAGGAGGAAAGGCTGTTTCTTACAAAGTGTACAATGACCACTGAACATTGAATTGTTTTTGAAACTGAATTTTTTGTCATTTTAAAAACAATGTTAAATGACTGTTAGGATTCATTTGTGAACATTTGGAACCCTTACATGTGGTGGCAGCGGTTCCAGGAAGCAGGGTGATGTTTTGGGGAGAATCCTTCTTCACTGGAGTTGTAGGCAATTCATTCTCCTTTTTTCTTCTTTTATAGGGGACAAACAGTCTTATGGGACCACTCTGATAAAGAGAAAGCAACCACTGTCAGAATATGGCAGTAATTCTTTCTGGAGATAGAATTAATGTTTGTTTGTTTTTTGCTAGTTGAAATAATCTAAACTTTGTATCAATTGCCTCACCAAAGAAAATAAAAGTGACATCTTGACACAATGAATCTAACACAGGATCTAAAAGATTTCTATACTGCAGACAAAGGATCCCAGTCCAAAGCCATTCACACCTACCTTCTTACATCCACAATTCTGATAAATATAAAATCCTTTCATTATAAATATTATCAGACAACTAGCTAAATGCTCAGTTGCTACTGCTGCCATGCCTTACATGAGAAACTTCAATAATATTCAATATATTGAACATTATTGAATAATATATTGAATAACATATTGAATATTTCAATTCAAATAATATATTATTTTTATTCAGTAAAAAGGACAGCTCTGGTAATGTACTCCAAATTATTTTCATTTCATGTTAGACTACAGATTCTTTAAAGGAACACAATGTTAGTGAAATCTGAGAATTTTAAGGGCCCAATGTTTCTCTAAGACTAGTTTTTCATATACTGACTCTGAATTTCCCCCCAATGAGCTACTTTCAAGTGTGGTGGACTACAACTTCTCTCACTGCTTGCTCTGGGTCTGATAGCTACTGCAGTTTAACAAAATATAAAATACTGTACGCTGATTGGTTACAATCGACAAGAAGTGCAGTTCAGCAAATTTAGTGTACATCTGGATAGGGAAGCGATCTGCTTTACTGAAAGAGTAACGTTTTCCTTTTAATGCTTCTACACTGTGGAGTCAACTTTCTCTTGAAATTCCTGCCTGCCAATGACTAGTACCTTTACAATAATGACCAAACATCATGCTAAATATTTATTTATTGCTAGCACTTCTATGCCACTTCAATCAGAAAAAACTGCCCAATAATAACGGGGTGGGTGGGGGGTGTGAGGGTGTGTGTGAGATGGATTTCTAAAAGGGAGAGAGAGCCTTTCTATGTTTGGAATATCCTTCCCAGAGAGACTCAAGTGGCACCCACAATGACCTCATTTCAGTGTCAAATGAAGACTTTTTTCAATTTCCCCAGGATCTTTAGACTGCAGTTTAAATCATATAGTTTTAGATTTTGGTAACTGCTTTGCTCAGAGGTGGGATTCAACCGGCGATACTACCGGTTTGGTGATTATGTTTTGCACGCGCATGTAAAATAACCTTAGGCTGTGCCACCCAGACAGCTGAAAAGTGCTGTGCGCAGGTGCGCAGTGTTCGAAGAGCCTCTTTTCCCTTGCTTTTTCAACCTCAGCTGTGCCGTGCAAAGCAGCTGAGTTGAAAAAGCAGGAAATAAAGGACAGCCAAGAGCCCGGGCGGGCAGGTGGGCCAAACAGCAGCAAACACAGATTCTGTGTCTGCTGCTCTTCAGAGCTACCGGCTCTATAGAACCGGGCAGAACCATTAGCATCCCACCCCTGGCTTTGCTGCTGCCTAGTTTGTAGGTGCTTTTACTTTGAATTTTACTTGATTCACCCGATAAGTTTAAATTTGAATTGTTCTTTTTGATTATTAAAAAAATGACTATAAATTGATTACTGGGTTGTTTAAAAGGTTAATAAATAAATCTAATCCATCTAATCACAAAATAACGTAAGCAGAGAAAAACCCATGATCAATAACATTACAACAGAATTCCCAGTACCCATAGCGACAACCTCTCTATTCCATAGGTAATTTTCTTTTACTCCTGAGTCCCTAAAGGCTCTGCAGAATAATCAGATTTCCAATAAATTCCAAAACGTAGTAAGGAAAGAAGCCAAAATCATGGAGGTGGGGGAAAGTAAACTGTTCAAGAGGAGGGAAGTTCCCACAGGGAATGCTCATTTCTGACTGCCCTCTCACCATACCACAAACATTGAGTTAAACTCCACAGATTTTTAAATACATGTTTAAAACAACCAGTGGATGCTTATTGTTCATAATCTACTACTCAAACTAAGTAAAATCTGATAATAATTTGTTTTATCTAAAAGCCTGCTACTGCAATACTTAGAGGAGTATATCAGTTGGAAATAGTGATAGGATCCTATTTGTTTCCTTGCTGCCCTTCCCTGTCTGACAAAGGAGCTTTCAGGCCACTGTATTTAGAAATCATCTCTGTGTGATAACCAGCATGTAGTAGTTCAGCACATCATCAAGTAATCCAAGCAAGCAGTTGTTACGACTCACCAAACTCATGTCATCACAACACGCAGCGCAAGTGCATGAGGCCGCATGGGGATTTAGTATTCCATCCTGGAATAGAATTGATGGGAAAGAGCAGTATTAGGAATCTTACATGCACAAAGATGGCAAGACATATTAATTCCCACAATGGAAGAATGGATGGTAAAGATGATAAAGTTGGAGAAGGTGGCAAAAGTTTTAATGAAAGAGAAGAATCTGTGTAGCGTTGTTGTCACTTGGAAATTGCTTCTGGACTTTGTGCTCGAAACTGAGGGTGGGGGGAAATGAAACTTTGAACTTATGTTTTGATAACCAGATTGACTTTGTTGTTATGGTCTGAAATGTAAGGCAAAAAGTTAATGTTGTAACTTTTACAGTACGTATTATACTGCGCTGAAAAAAGTTGAAAGTCACTACTTTTTTTTCTTTCTCTTTGAAGTTCTCTTCTTTCTTCTCCTTCTTCATCATTCCTGATTTTTTTGTTTCTATTTGTATTTATTTTATAACAAACTTTAATAAAAACATTAAAACCGGAAAAGAGCAATATTAGGTTGAAAAAACTGACACCCATCCAACATTAACACAAAGAAGCCCTTCCTAGCTCTCCAAGCACTGACAGCTTGGTTGGCGCACTGCTTTAAAGTAAAACTAACTATCTAATCTAGTATCCTATCTTGTGATCCTGTCCCCTCACCTCTGTGTCTACCACTGTCGTGCATACATTCGCCAGATGTGGTAGAACCACAAATAATGCAAATAGGGAGCTGTCTAAAGTACAGGCAATTTATGAAATGGTGTCATGAAATATAACTGTGGTGAAAAGAACAGTGGATATGAAAGGATGCTATTACCAGAAACTTTACAGTAGTTAGATTTTCTTTTCTTTTCTCTCATTTCCCATGTTCAATATATTGCTTATTAAATCCTTCTCTTTTCCTGTGTTTTAAGAGAATAACATGCTGGATATTTATATATGCATAAAGGATGTCTTACTAAAGTTTTCCATTGCTTCTTTGACTCCCACATATATCTTCTGGTAACTTTTATCCTAAGCTTGCTGGAGGTCTTCTCCATTTTCAAGAAATACATTGTATAAACGTAAGTACAAATACAGCACATGATGAAACTCTTTCAAATGTCATAGTCCATTTGTGTTGATTTAGGAATCAATCCCACTGAATTCAGTAGGACTTATTGTGGCATATGTGACAATAGGAAGAGAAAGATGCTAAGGAATCTTACATGGATAAGGCACTGTATTGGCCTCCCAGCATAACGGATACTTCTTTTCCAGTCTTTGCTACTGGCTCTTCCAGCCATAGCTTCAAATTCAGTGGGGCTGTACCAGTTGTCCCCTTGCTTAATACAGCGACCTCGACCACCTAGTCCAGGATAAAACAAAGCAATAACTCCTGCTTAATAATCGCTTTATACAAATGAGGCTCAGAAGAGTCTACGAAAAGCTTTCCCTACAAGCTGCAGACTAACAGTTCCCTTCCCACTAAAAAAATGCCTTCCCAATATACTCTTAATGGTTTTGCAAAATGGAGCCTTCACGTTCATGATGATGCCACTTTTCCTTTCCCATTCACAGCTAAGCACAACGCTGAAAAGAATAACATGCAGGCTAGAAAAGAATGTCTTCTGGGCCCTTCATCCACTTTTAATTGCTAACATTGTTAATGATTTGGCCTGCTGTGTATAAATGAACTTGATATGAAACAAGTATCATATACTGAAACATGAGCAAGTAGCTATCATTTAGATGGCTTGATACATGCAATGACTTGTATCTAAGTTAGTATTTTCTCCCTTTGCTCTCACAACAGACTGAGTGGAATTGTGGAGGACAGGAGAACAGTGAATATAGGCAGGGAATTCTCCTTAAGTTATATTCCACAATTGCACTGCTATCCAATTTAAACACAGATCCTTTCATAACTCTAAGATTGACTTTGCTCCAAATTTATTGAAAAATTTAACTCTGAGTAAAAATCAATGCTTAATCTTAGCAGGTTAAAATTTTTGGCGGGTTCTTAATCACTCAGATGGACCAGAAAAATATAGGCTAAAATTCCTCACCTGAACCAAGTCGGTTTTTGTACAATATCCCACTGATATTTCGACATCGCACAGGCAGTTCATTATCATACACTGAAGGGTCCCAGTTATATTTTGTCCCACTTTTTTCTTGACCAGATGTTAACTGAGTAGGGGGGGACTGAGATCCTTCAAATAAAAGGAAAGGTAAACCAAGTCTTAACATACATTTTCCATTTCTGCATTTCCTTTAGACTTGAATGCCAAAACTGTGGTCCTTAAAATGATAGGTAGTCAATAAAAAACCAAAGAGAACAACGTATTCCTTTAATAGTTAAAAGAAGAAAAATGAATATTAAATCCTTTCTAAATAACAAATCAATTGCTTGATTTTTGAAATATGGAATCCATGTAGAAAGAATTTACATTGTCATTATCTGCCATACTTTTACTATTCTTCTCAAGAAACAATAGCACTGATAAGAAATATCTGCATCTTATAAATTCCATGTCATCTCCATACCTCAGCTATTACTGAAGCAACACAGGATGCTTACTTGTTTATTTCTTTACTTAAATAATAGGGCTTATAGACTACTCCAATTAGCCAACCTGAGCAGCATACAATTTCCTAGTATGTAAGTGGGATTAAACATAAATATGAAACAAATTAAAAACAACACTATATATTACAATTACATAAAACTGGGAATTGTATTCAAAATAAACAACAAATAAGCCATCATCTGGAGGGATTGCCATAATGACCCAGCCTCCCTTATTGACCAAACAGCCATGTTATCATCCTTAAGACTAGAAGGAAGGGGGTGGATTACATGTCAGAGGGATACTATTCCAGAAGAGGGGGACAGTGACTGAAACACATTGTTTGTATATTACAGTATACAAACTGGCCTGAGTTTGCATATCTGCAATGGCTAATGAATAGGTAAGATGTGTTTGTGTCTTAATAGCTTCCATAGAAGACAGAAAATGCTGAGGTACTATCACAACAGACCAATGAGAAGCTTGAACTACAGGACTTGCAAGAGAGGCATGGCAAATTGAAGATGCCTCTGCAAAAGCAGAGCCAATGACAACAGCAAAGATTAAAGAATTGGTGAGTAATCTGGTTCTTTGGAACCTCTCCAGACAAGGAGAAGATAGCTG